CCAGGCTGCCTACGTACCCTTGGACAAGGGATCAAGCCACACATAGTTCTCATCTCAACGGTCACAACTCCGATAACAGACAATTATTTACAACAGAACCAACTATACATTTCATATCTATCACAATTCTAAATCCGATAAAAACACATTGAAACATTATCACTTTCCTCCCAAGGCATCATATTAAGAAGACATCCGAAGGGCCTGGATAAACTCCGACGGGCCTAGGCAAAACAAATCTTCGAAGGGCCTGGACAAACTCCGATAGGCCTGGGCAAAATAAATCTCCGAAGGGCCTGGGCAAACTCCGACGGGCCTAAACATTCATACATGTACAAACTCACAAATCTCAAACCAGAATCAAAACCACATATACATATATGTAATATAATAACACCCACCTCTCACCATCATCATGTACCAGGGGAAACAATCCAACCGGGGATTGTTGACTAGCTCACAAGTATCCGGCCTCAAATGCCCATGTGGTTAGGGACGAGCCGTCCAACTGGGGGACTACACTCAACCAGCCCATACAGACGAAGAATCTAGACCCGTACGTCTGAAACAGTCCTACGCGCGTAGACTACCCAATCAAGGGTCTACAGCAACATCCCGTCAAGGATGCCCCGGGTTCCGTCATATCCAGACCATATCCACAATTTCCACATATCAATATCCAAGGGGAAGTACATATGATGATGCACATCATGTACTGGGGGAAACAATCCAACAGGGGATTGTTGACTAGTTCACAAGTATCCGGCCTCAAACGCCCATGTGGCTAGGGATGAGCTGTCCAACTGGGGGACTAACTCTAACCCAACACATACAGACGAAGAATCAAAACTCGTACGCCTGGAACAGCCCTATGCGCACAGACTACCCAATCAAGGGTCTACAGCAACATCCCGTCAAGGATGCCCCGGGTTCCGTCATATCCAGACCATATCCACAATTTCCACATATCAATATCCAAGGGGAAGTACATATGATGATGCACATCATGTACTGGGGGAAACAATCCAACAGGGGATTGTTGACTAGTTCACAAGTATCCGGCCTCAAACGCCCATGTGGCTAGGGATGAGCTGTCCAACTGGGGGACTAACTCTAACCCAACACATACAGACGAAGAATCAAAACTCGTACGCCTGGAACAGCCCTATGCGCACAGACTACCCAATCAAGGGTCTACAGCAACATCCCGTCAAGGATGCCCCGGTTCCGTCATATCCAGACCATATCCAATCCATATCCATTTTCATGTATCTCAGTGTCCATAACCACTGTTTCCAAGTATCATCATCCAAGGGGGAGGTACGTATGATGGTAGAGTTCGTGACCCTTACATAAATATTATAGAAATAATATTCCCTTCCTTAGTTCAATTTTCCCAAAAATACCTATTCATAGTATAGCTAATAAATTCTCAAGCATATTCTATATCCAAGGGGTACCTAAGGTAGTGCTAATAGCACTCAAATCGACATTCTAACCCCTGTCTTTCTAACATCTCACATCAACTACCCAAGTACCCCACACATCATCAACATAGATAGCATTTCCTCAAATATTATATATATGACTCAAGAAACTCGAAATATTAACAATAATAGGTTTACTCACAAATTAACAATCTACTTATAGATATAAATATAAATCTCACAACAAACTATTAAAACAATATGCATAAACTTTCCATCACAAAACCATAAAAATAATCTCGTAGACCCACAAACTCAACATCAATCAAATGACGGTC